TTACATGTTAACAGATTCAATAAAGCTTCTTTGAAGATGCTTGTCATCTTCAGAAACACTTTTTAAAAAGCAAGCAAACTATTTCTATCAAATAAAATCAAGAGAAATATGATCTTCTACTCTTTCAGAACCCGAAAGAGTTGTACTCTATTCTCTGTAACTTAATTTCCAAGGTCAAACCTTTTGGTATTATCCTGAGCCTCCAGATCACTTTTAAAACTTCGTTACTGCAAAGAGTCTTTCTTTGATGCTGGCCTTCTTGAAATCCCTCATGTCTATTTCCTCATTTCTTTTTAATTTTTTTTCAGTATTTAGCCTAGCTATAGTAATCAAAGAAGTTGAGGTGGCTGATAAATTACAGGTTTTAGCACTTTGGGAACAAACCCGACATCCCTACACATTTGCTTTTAGGCTACTTCCCTCATCAAAGCTCAAACAGTAGTGTCTGGGTATTACGCAGTTTCTGAATGAGTGTTCTCACCCTCCACAAAGTGTGAAGTAACTTACCCTTGTTTCCAGTATTTATGTTCTCTCCCTTGCCCTTGCCCTCCCTTCCACCCCGAGATGAATCTGTTATGGGTAAGGACATTAATGTAAACCCTCTGAATTAAAAACAGATTTTGCTTTCCTGGTTATATTAAATTCGGTGATCTTAAGCAAAGCCATTTTGAATTCTTTTTGTTATTAATAGAAATTGGAAATTTAGTGATTTTCTTATAATGTCTTTTATCAACTGGTGGTATAATGGAGCAGAGGGGAACGTTTACAATATATATTGCAGGAAACAACTAAGATACTGCCTTTCAATTTGTATCTGAAGTATTTTTTTAGATCTAAATCTAACTAAAAATACAATTGTTACAATTCATTTGGTTAGGTAAATTCCTTCTAGTAACAGGTCTGACAAAGGTTTGTCTGTGTTTACTCAGTTTTGGGAAGCTAACGGCAAGAAGACCACATTCCTCAAAGCAAGACATAAGCCTTTTCATATTTCTCAGTAAATACTAATAATAGTATAAATTGGCTGAACAATCTGACTCTGATGGACAATGCTCACAAACAGATTTTAGACAGAAAATAATAGCTACTTGCCAGAATGTTTGGGCATTTGAAGGCTCCCAGTTAAGGACAAGGTTGAAAATAACTGTCAGTAATTGATAACTGTCAATTTCATTCAGAATCTGATTTCCACCATCTCTGGGAAAATTAAAGACTTCACACCCAAAGCAAACTACAGGAGTCATTAAAGGCTCTTAAAAGCATACTGAATAATAACAGCAATATAATAGATTGAATAGCTAGTATGATGTAAAACAACAATAAAAATAATACCCCAAAACTAATCTTGGCCATCCATGAATGAAAATGCAGGTAGGGAAAAAAAAAAAAAAAAAAAAAACAATTCTCAATTCTTATCCTAATAAAAAGGTGGAAATTTCCATTTTTTAACCTCTAAAAACTGCTTTCACACATCTGACAATAAGACAAAAGTAGGAGGCTCTTGAGAGTTCATCTTGACTTTTATTACACACTAGACATATATGAACTAACCAGAGATGTGTATGATTCTCTGTACTCTTAAAATCACAGGAAATATATTTCCACCTCCCCCTTTTTTTTCTGATATTGGAGTAGCATTTCAGATTTTGGGGATTAGCTTAGGGCAAAGTAAAGGTCATGGAAGGCAGTGTATAAATAACTTTAATTATGAAGCTACTTTTCAGAAGCTAGTAGTAACTTGCTTAGTAATAATCACAAGGTTGTGCAGTGTTCACAATGCTGGTATTAATCAGCTACATATTTTGAACATCTACTATTACTGGATACCAAAGAAAGTGAGTTATTTAAGAATCTTCCATTCTTGTTATAAGCTTCCTATGATCCAGTAACTTCTCAAAGGTTTTGCCAAAAGCGTAAGTCCTTGCTTTTTGGGAATTTTTATTTGTGCACCCAGGAATTGTAAATGCAACCATCACTGCTTCTTGTGCAGGTGTGTGCTTTAACAATCAGGGCTGCTTTTGGCATCAAGAGTATGAGCTATTAAGAGTTTCTAAAAATACTGACCTAAGTAGTCAGTTGCCTCCACCTTATATACTATTCAGACAAGTCTTTGGAAAGTATACTACTGTATTCCTAGTCCAAAATAAGGTAGGCATGAATATATTCAACCTTGTTTGCACACACACCAAGGAAGAATTTAAATTTTTGCCCTTAAGTAGTTTTGTGTTAGGCAGGAGGAAAAACATATTCAGTTTTGAGGTAGGTCATCAATAGGAAGGAGAAAAATACAAGACAGTCTAAGATCTAACCTATGTCCACCTTTCTAGGCTTACGTCTTAATACTCCCAAAGTGGCACAAGCTAGGTTATTTCTAGTTCTTAACAGGTTACTGTGCTTTTGCACAATGCTCTCAAGTTCAGCTTAAGCAATGCTCCTCTGGAAGTTCACACCCTAACTGAACTGTCACTCTTCTTTGTTTTCTTCTAGAATCCTGGGATTATCTGAATAATAAATGCCATCACATTGTACTTTCAATACATACTTCATCTCTTTCACCTAGTGCACTATGAATTACTATGGGAAAAATCTGTGTGCCTATCTTCCTGTCTTCAGTGATGATATACTGAAAGAATGGTGTAGGAATAGAAATATTCTATTTACCAGTGCTAAGTCTTTTTCACAAAACCAGGCAGAGATCTGCTCATTTTTACTCTGTGAACTTGGAAAAGTTAATTTATTCAAATCTCTATTTTGTCCTAACTAGACTGATCATCTTATTACTAAGATGAAGGAATCTATTGCAAGTCACATGTTACTATCATCCCCCGGTATGAAAGAGCTATTTTGAATTTGAACATATAAGAGCATTCAAGATAGTGCCTGGCACAGTAGAACAGGGCATTAACAAGATACTGGACTTGATCCTCAAATTATTTAAGCCATAGAAGGGATTCAGACTCTGGCCTTTTGACTGACCACCTTTTAAGACTGCTTGAAAAGACAACTCCCTTCCTATTAGTACAGCTAAAGCCAATCAGGAACTAAACATCAGCACACAAAAAATGCCAGGACAGATGGAATCAAAAGACTCTGAAGCCAAAAGGAGGCTAGGGAGAGCAACTGAACTTAGCACGCTGAGTACTTCAGTGTCCATCATCCGATCCTACCCTGTAACAACAGGTCTATGTGATAGATATTCCATCTGACCTGGAGGCCATTATCCTTAGCAAACTAACACAGAACAGAAAACCAAATACTATACGTTCTCACTTAGAAGTAGGAGCTAAATGATGAGAACTCAAGGACACAAAGAAGGGAACAACAAACACTGGGGCCTACTTGAGGGTGGAGGTTGGGAGGAGGGAGAAGAGCAGGAAAAATAACTACTGGGTACTAGGTTTAGCACCTGGGTGACAAAATAATCTGTACAACAAAACCCCTTGACATGAGATGAGTTTACCTATATAACAACCTGCACATGTGCCCCTGAACCTAAAATAAGAGTTAAAAAAATAAAAGAGATATTCTATCTGATGCTTAAGTTGATCTTTAATAACCTTCTGCATCCCACCACCCCACTAAAACCACACGAGAAATATCTCAATATTCTGTGGGCTTAAAACCACCTACACTGCCCTTTGGATTAGAGAACAGGATTCAGCAGTCTCCTTTGAAAAAAATACATTAAAGAACATGTTAATTGCTTTTATTCATACTGTGTCTCTCCCTGACTTCTCCAAGAGCTTGTGTTTCAAAAGGTCAGAATGTTTGTTGTTACAAATACATTGCCTCCCACTGTTTAGCGTCTATACATAGCAAAAAGTTTTGTATGTTTCCACAAATTTTCCCCCAAAATTATCTCTTCCTTTACTTTCCACTTACCTCCTCTGAGATGCCAAATTAAGAAATGTCTTAGAATATCTAGAATATTCTTCCTCTTTTCATATTCGATTTGTCTTAGCATATAAAAAATGAGTTGACATGGCTTTCGGAAAGTCCAGTTGGCAGCAGAGCTGGACAACAGATAGATGGCCACCCAGAAATTAGAGTCAGAAAGGTTACTTATTCAGCATGGAGACACTGACAAGAATCCTATTTTTGAGAAACCCTGAAAATCCGTGACCTGATGTAAAGCCCAAGAGGCACTTGAGAGGAAGAACAATGATTATAACCTGATTCCCTGTCTAAAGCAAAATATACCACTTTTAACTGCACAGACATGCCAAAAATATAAAATACAGCGATAACGCGTAACAGCTCTATTGCCAAAAAAAAAAAAAAAATCCAAAACCAAACCAAACAAAAAATCGTCAGATAACAAAATACAGAAAATCAAACAAAAACCAAAAAACACCCCCAAACAAAAAAACCACCACAGGCAACACACAAGCTTAAGATGTTACCTAGAATCCATTCCAAGTGGTTTAGTTTAAAATAAAAATAGGTGGCTTTCAGTTCCATACTTTGTTTCTGCAGAAATAACTACTAGCCTATTAAATTAGAAATAATTTTCTTTTCTTCAAAAAGGGAGTTTCTTCATTTTACCTTTATGATGAATTAATAGCTGCAAACAATCTAATTAATACTATCTACAACAGGTAATTTTTAGCTAAGATTTAAGTTCCTCTTAGCTCTGAAATTTTAACTGAATTTCAGTTGAACCTTAAGAAATGTTAACCATGACCTTAAAATAACTGCTCTATTGTAAAATTTAGAAGTCACATTCCCAATAATTCTCTTGCCTAGACTAAAAATTGTTGAAGGTCTCCTTTCACCACCCAAATTCAAATATACTTATGCCACAGTACACAAATCAGTAGATTTGAAAACTATTTATCACCTTCAAAGTAACAAAAAAGATTCCAGCTCAAGTTGACAAAACACAAACCGGATTTAAAGTGCTATATTAAAAAACAAAACAAAAATACAGTTTCTTTAGGGCAATTAAAATGTTTCATTTTTGAAGCCGTGACACTAAAAATAATGAAAAACACATATAAGATAATTATTTTATAACTGTTCTTTTCATTCTAAGAATGTTGTGTTTTTCAGAGAAAGACAGCTTTCTGGTAAAAATTCATGCACAAAACACTTATGTATACTTGACAAGAGGTTTCAGAGCCTACTATGCCATGTCTAGTCTAAATCCACTAATGTTAAATATCAACATTTTTCCAATACTATTTTTAAGTTACATCTCATTTACCTTGCTCCTTAAGAACTTATAAGCTTGTTTTAAATATTTTAAATACTTGTCATAAACTAGAGTTTGCTAAGAGTAGAGGTACTCTGGTTAATGATCAAAATGGTGTGCCCAGAGGAAAAGCAAGCGCTATTAAACATGACTGCAATCCTTATCAACACAAATTGAGCCATTTTAATAAAAAAGCTAGTCCAAAAAAGGGTCTTGTTCTATAAAGATTAAATCATTTCCAAATCACAGTGAAAGGAACTTGAGTAATTAACCAATTTTGTTTTCTCCTATGTGCCTTGGAGATACCTCACTAAAATTTGGTATCTGATACAACAGAATAACATTTGCAGAATGTAATATTGTAGTGACAATACTGAGGTTGATTGTTACAGACTATTAAATGGTTACATCTTAATTATTATATAGAACATTGGTCCAATAACATAAAAATAGAGAACAGCATCTGGAAATTTATCTCATTCAATGTTCAGAGATAAAAGGGTTAACCATCCTTTCCATTATTTTCTGCAGTAAGTCCTTGTTCACAATGAAATCTGATGGCAATTAAATTCTGGCATTTTCCCCAGCTACTGTATGAAGAGGATGCTGAAGGCCATTACTATACAGCATACTGCTACATAAGGACTCTTCCGTTCACCTGTTGAAAAAAAGGAGATATTCATTTTGATTAACTGAGTAGCTAACCTGGCTATGACAAGGTTATACTACGAGAAAGGGATACATAAGAATCAAGATAACATTCTTCCCTAGGAGGCCCCCATATTGGGGGTGGGACAACGACAAAAACTAGATGCAACATAAAAAACAAGCACCATGCAGAATGGGCTAAACTATTAATATGTCAATTTATTTCGAAGAGGATCTTCTTTTCATATATTTAGAAAACCTTGAAAGCATCATTTCTTTGTCACTGTGTAAACTCAGACACTAAAAAATACAATGTAGAATGTAGGACAGAGATCCAAGAGAAACAATCTCAACTCAACTGAGGCCAAAGAAATATTGTTTATTTTCTTTCTATAAAAAGAACAAAATTTCCACCCATAAAAAGAAATTCGAAACACAATATTTGTCCTTACTGGTAGCAATTCGTGACACTTAAAGGCAAAGGGAAGGGGGAGCATTCATGGATGAAAATAAAGAGAGGATGGTCAATAAAATTGCATTTAAAAAATGGACAAATTAAAATGCTTAATTTAAAAAATTAGAAAAACTATTTCTGAGATAGTATGCTTACTCTGGGTTAGAAAAGTAGAACTAAAACCAACCACTTCTATATGAGTCAATTTTTCACATGCATTTAAGGAATGCTTGTATTTGGATGCTTTCCTCTGCACAAAGTAAATCTGAAATTGGCTTGTGAATTGTCTTGCAAATAGAGATCATGTCATTGTGAGTTAACTCAAACTCATCTTATTCTTCCCTGTTCCTTCAATAACCGCAAGGCTATACTCATTCATAAAGCACAAACATTTCTATGCTGCCGTGAGGGCAGTATAAGAAAGGAAGAAGAAACTACTTCTAGAAATAATCCTGGGTATGTACCTGGCATCCTCTAGTAGAGATGGTTTATACTACCCTCACTTGTGCTTTTCCATGATGCTTAAAGTCAACTCTTTAATGAAACTCCTTATTCCACTTAGCAAGTTCAGCAAACTACCTTTAGAAAATGTTCATCCTGACCATCTTTATTAACTAAAATTCTCAAGGTCATTTTCATTCTTATAGCTTCCTCACTGACATGACACTGCCATATAATTGGGTTTATATATTAGTGTCTGCTCATTGTTAATTTCCACAGAAAATATTATACACATATATAAAAAATAAACTTTTGGGGTTTTTCTGGATCTGGAAGTATTTGTTCTATCCATAGACATTTAATGGACTGCCTTTCAGCTAAAGAAAAATCTAGAAAGTGAAAGTGTTTTTACAATACCATCACCTCAATTGAAAATAAAAATCTTTTAAAATTAAAATATGTCTTGGGTCACAATTTGTAAACAATGCTAATTCTCTTAGAGGAAAAAGCCCAAGTCACCAAATCAAACAAAAACAACCCCATTTGTACATAAATTTCAGAAAGACTTTGTAAGCAAGCCTGTCACTCTTACTAGGGCTATATATCCTCATTGTCTCATATAGTCTTATTAAATACTTAAAAGAAATTAATACTGTCCTAAGTTTTCCAGAAGTTCCGCTTTTTCTCATCCTTCAACTTAGACTGCTATAATTTACAGATGGATTTCATTTTCCTGTTTTTACTTTTCTTAAAAGAGACTGCCATGTGGTAAAGCTAAACATCTTTAGTTGAACTTGGGTTTTAATGTTACTTTTTGTCTGGTCTTAGGTCTGTATAAGTGAATGTAAAACAGTTACTGTAATGTGATGTGTAACATGATAAGATGATTTGGCTAGGTCTTTTCCCATTAAAATTGTATCATTTCTTTGTGGATATATTCTGTGTCAAGATAAGAGAGGAGCACACGCTTGAGAAAGCAGCATATCAACAATATTTTCTAAGTCACTCTGCCAAAATGAAAAGCTAATGCTTTCACAGAATTGGCAAGAACGAACATTTAAAATGAACCATTCAACCTATGGCATTCATACAGTCAAGAGAGGAAAATGGAAATAATAAATAACTAGCCAAAAAAAAAAAAAAGGACACTAGACACTATTTATAATTAGATATAAAAATAGATCATACTACAGGAAATCATTAAGAAAGATACAAACTAGACATTCTTAAACTGAGCTATACTCTTTTCAAGCAATAATTGTGAACAAAGGGGCTGTTTGGGTGGGCTATTAAATGGAACTGTATGTACTTCTCTCATTACATAAGATGGATTTAAAATACCTTAATATTTTCTTTATGCATTAGCAACTTAATAATAAAACTGAGATGATAACTATGCCTCTTAACTCCAGACCTGCTCTTCCATTATGTTCTCTCTTTCTACTTTACTTGAGGTATTCTGACCACCGTTTCTTGGCCATATTCTTTTTCAGAGTAACTTGTCTCTGAAGCATGCAGTTTGGTGTGTATATATTTACATTTATCACTAACTATCAGTATTAACCATTGAGGATGCTCTTTTGTCATTCTTTTCTTGGTTCTTTTTGAAGTGCTTAAGATTTCTCCTATTATTTCAGGATTTGCAGTTGTTCATAACTGAGTGCCAGATAAGTCTGCATCACAAATTTCTGTAAATCTAGACTAGCCCTTCTCAACTCCAGTACTATGGACATTTTGAGCTTGATAATTCTGTTGTGATGGATTCCTTGTGCATCCTAGGACGCTTAGCAACATCCCTCACCTGTATCCACTATATGTCCCAGAGTCCAGTTGTGACTATCAAAGCTGTCTCTCTATTTTGCCAAATGCCCCGGAATGGTAACTACTTATCTAGGCTATATCTGTGATTTTACCAGTTTAAGGTAATGATACTTATTACAAAAGAAAGACTTACACATGTCACTATAAGAGAGAACAAAATATGACAGAACACTGAGGAAGAATAGCTGAATCTGTTAAAATCATACTTATTTCTCTGGAAGATAAAGTCTGTTTCAATAGTCATTATATCAGTATTACAGCCTTGAAACAGGCACTTTTCTATGAAGTCTTTTACACTTACTCTATCATTTGCCATGACAAGAAACTGGAAAGGCCAAAGAACCTTATGATTTCATCATCACAGATTTAGAAAGGACTTCTGGATAATTTAGTATTATGCTTACAATTTCCACCATTAATGGGTCTTGCCTATCATTAAAAGCTTAAGGGAAGAAAACCTGCTCTCAAAATTATTTCAATGGCGAACAGCATATGAACCTTAGACGATGCTTTAAACATTTGAAGACTAGTTATACTATAACCATCTTCAGACAAATTACATCAGTTCTCAGTTTCTCTTTCAAAAAATCTCTAAGTACAGAATATTTCATTTTATTGTGCTCTGCAGATATTGCCCCTTTGAAAAAAAACTGTCTTATGGCAGCCTTGCATCGCGCAAGTCTATTGAGGCCATTTTTTAAAAGCAGCACGTGCTCAATCTGTGTCTCTGTGTCATATTTTGGTAATTCTCCCAATATTTCACACTTTTTCATTATTATTGTATCTTTTATGGCGATCTGTGATCACTGATCTTTCATGGTACCATTGCAATGGTTGTGGGGCACCATGAACTGTGCTCATACAAGATGGCAACCTTATTTGATACATGATACACCAATAAGAAACTACAGCAAGTTATGCAGAAACTAGCTAAGATAACCAATGAAAGTAGCTAAACTAAACAACAGATGAATTTCAATGTAGACAAAATGACCTTCCATTGAAAAAGATGGCATCTAGGAATTTCACAGCTAGAGAGGAGAAGTCAGTGCCTGGCTTCCACCGCTTCAAAGAGCAGGCTGACTCATGTTAGGGGCTAATGTAGCTGGTGACTTTAAGCTGAAGTCAATGCTCATTCACCTGCTGAAAATTCTACAGCTTTTAAGAATTATGCTAAATCTGCTCTCCCTATGCTCTAGAAATGGAACAACTAAGTCTGGATGACAGCATACCTGTTTACAGCATGGTTTACCTAATACATCAATGGAGGAAGTAACCGCAGATAATGGCGAAAAGAGGAAGAGAACTGTAATTAGAAGGGGAGCCTGAATATGTGATTGAATTACTATAATCTCATGATGAAATCTGAATGAGTAACTTCTTCTTACGAACAAAGAAAATGGTTTCTTGAGATGGAATTTACTCCTGGTGAGGATGTCGTGAACACTGTTGAAATGACAACAAAGGATTTAAAATATTACATAAACTTAGTTGATAAATCAGTGGAGGGTTTGAGAGGATTGAATCCAGTTTTGAAAGAAATTCAACTGTGGATAAAATGCTACCAAATAGCACTGCAGGTTACAGAGAAATCTTTCATGAAAGGAAGAGTCAATCCATGTGGCAAACTTCAATGTTATCGCATTTTAAGAACTGCCAGTCACCCAACCTTCAACAACCACCACCCTGATCAATCAGCAGCCATCAACATTGAGGGAAGACCCTCCACCAGCAGAATGATTGACTCACTAAAGGGTCAGATATAATCACCAGTGATTTTTAGCAACACAGTATTTTTCAATTAAGGTACACACATTGTTCTTAAAGACACACTGCTACTCCACACTTAACAGACCACTAATCTATACAAAACTTTTATATGTACCAGAAACCAAAAAAATTTGTTGACTTGTTTTATTGTGGTGGTCTGGGATTAAACATGCAGTATCTCTGAGGTATACCTGTATTACAAATACTTAGTTTGTATTTTTCAATCTCATGAGGTTTGTCTCCTTTATGGACCATCTTCTAAATTTTCCACATCTCTGAGAAGTTGAAAACCAAAATAAAACACAATACTCTAAAGGGCACACAGTTTATCTAATGGAGATGACTCTTCAATTCTCCATCCTACTTAAAGAGATTAGTTGTGAGAATTTAGGCTGTTGTCAAGACTGGCTAACAACACTAAATGTCAAACGTAGAAAAAATATTTTTTATTATAAAAGTCTAACAGGCTTTATGAAAGAAAAAAGTAGTTATGCATAAATGCAAAGTTAGAAGAAGAGTACTGAAACGAAAGAATTTTTCGTTGGCCATGCAAATGATTCCAAAGAGGACAGATAAGAAATACCCAATTTCAGTTCAAAGTTGTATATGTACAAATGCCTTGAGTTTTTCTTTTTTTTTGAATTAAGAAGGTTTAAAAAGGGTGTAATTTATTATTCAAGAATACTGATAAACGGCTGGGCACAGTGGCTCATGCCTGTAATCCCAGCACTTTGGGAGGCCGAGGTGGGCGCATCACGAGGTCAGGAGCTCGAGACCAGCCTGGCCAACATAGTGAAATCCCGTCTCTACTAAAAATACAAAAAATTAGCTGGGCATGGTGGTGGGTGCCTGTAATCCCAGCTACTTGGGACACTGAGGCAGGAGAATTGCTTGAACCTGGGAGGTGGAGCTTGCAGTGAGCCGAGATCACACCACTGCACTCCAGCCTGGGTGACAGTGTGAGACTCCATCCCCCCCTCTAAAAAAAAAGAATACTGATGAATGATGCAATAAAATACATTTTAATTCATTCACTTAATCATTTGAGAGTCTACTTTGTGCTGGACACAGTGTCAAATGTTGCATATACAGGGCGACTGGACAGGAGTATATTACTAACTATAAAAACATATATGATGTTACTAATCTCTTATCATGGAAAATTGTAAGACAACCACATCTACCTTAACTTTTAATTGCTTCTTGGTCTTTTAGCTAAGATCAAGGGTAGTACTTTAACTCGAGTCAAACAGTTTGGCTATGACCACATGGGTTCAACAGACAAAACAGTTAAACATTCTGTTACTTAAAATAGGGCAATACAGTGATTATGTTTAGATAGCTGCTCAGACAGACTTTCATTATATGGGAATACATCCTAGTTATCAAAATGGTATACAATATACAGAACAGCGTGCTCTATACTTCCATACTATCAACATGTGTGCATAAAACCACATACATTTATTTCCCCCAATACCAGGAATGCATGGTATTTGATATCTAAATTAGAGAGACTTTTCTATCTCTGTGTTAATGAAGTATCCACCAAATCTAGTTTTATTCTTTTTTAATGTTGAGACAGAGTCTCACTCTGTCACCCAGTTTGGGGTACAGTGGTGTGATCTGGCTCACTGCAATCTCTGCCTCTCGGGTTCAAGAGATCCGTCTGCCTCAGTAGCTGCCTAAGTAGCTGGGATTACAGATGTGTATGCCTGGCTAATTTTTGTATTTTTAGTAGAGACAGGGTTTCATCATGTCGGCCAGACTGGTCTCGAACTCCTGACCCCAGGTAATCCTCCTGCCTTGGCCTCAAAAAGTGCTGGGATTACAGGCGTGAGCCCCCATGCCTGGCCTACGCCTTATGCCCAAACAGCATAAGGAAAAGAGCTTGGTACAACTTATAAACTTTTGCAAAAATGCATAAAATCGGGAAGCCTGCCCTTTAAAAATTAACATATGATTTGTGCGATTATAACATAAGTAAATTGGTCAACAATTTACAGCTGAAGAAGTGGAGGGAGATTATAGACACTTACCAATTCTGGCACATTTCCAAAATATACCCAACAATCTGCATAGAATAAAAACAGAAAAAAAGTAGCTATTGATTACTCAGAAAGGTAAATCATTCTCTTGATATCATATAGGGAATTAATTGTATATTAACATATTAACTTTAACACTTTGCTTCAAATTTGAAATCTGCTTGTTTGATGTTGAGCCACTATCCAAGTATGAAAGTAGGACACAATGGCATATCAACCATCAATGTACAGAAACTGCTATGAACTGGAATATAAATAGTGTCATAGGTCAAATCCAGGGCAAATTAATGAGAGTCGCAAAAATTTGCATAAGGGTTTACTATTCAGTTAACTTAAAGTACTCTACTTTCAAAAGCATAAAATGTACATGGCAATTTAAGCATCGATTTTGATAAAATGTTAAATGAACATTTTTTGGTTGAATGTGACACCAAAAACATTCCTATACTAAACTTTAATTTCGTAGAGAATGTAGCTCTAAAGTTAAATAATCCAAAATAATGAATTCCAATGATGTTATTTAATTATGTGTCATTTACTAAGAAGGAATTAAAAATGTGCTTATATTTTCAATATAAGTAGAAAATCTCCTAGTTTAGAGGACACTCTATGTGAATTCACTAAATATGGCATTTAAAGCACATATTCTAGAAACAAGTATTAGAATGGAGGCATATATTTCAATTGTATGAATGAATACATTATGAATTATATATTATATGGAATTATCACTTATTTGGCATGTATAACAAATCATTTTTGAAAAAAAGACCAACTGAGTCATCAATGAATAGAGATATCTTAAAAAGTAACATCGAGGACATTACTTTATTGGTCTGACAAAGTAAAAGAATTATAAATAGTGTCACATATGGTTGCAAATCAAGATAAATTAATATTATGTTATATAAACTAGAATTATTATCTCAAGAAAATCATAATACTTAAATTCCAGAAAAATTTATAGCATATTCTTTTTTTTTGCTGAAAGAGATGGCTGGCTAGTGAATCATTACATCTGAATGGGTAAGACTGACAGAAAACTCTGGTCAGTTAAGTTCTACATATGTTCCTCTTCTGAAGTATAACTTCCTGACCTCAAAGTAAAAGGTCTCTTAGCCTATCAATCATCAATGTATAGAAACTGCTATGAACTGGAATATACACAGTTTAGATTAAATGGAATTAGGCAAAAACATGAGTTTATTTCAAAGTATGAATATTCTGACAGGCTAAACAATTTTACTATAGAAATAAAATGACAAAAGCCATATACATCCCTGAAAATAAGCTAAAATAAAGGCCAAATTATGCTTACATTCTATACTACTTACTGGTTGCATAACTGTGAGCAAGGTATAGTACCCACCCTCAAAGGGTTGTTATGAGGATGAAATGAGTGATTATACAGAAAGTCCTCAGAATGGTGACTTACATGTACTGTGTTCATACATAGGCTAAAGGTACATATGATGATAACTCTAGGTATCACTTAAAATTGGCTAACATTTCTTCATCAAACAATGGAATAGGTCAGGCATTTGCAAAGCCATGGCTCCTTCATTCTAGAACCCACCAAAAACCACAAGATCAAAAACTCAAGGTCTTTTGGGGTCTAACATTCTAGAAGTAACAAAATATCATTAAGAAACTGGTACAACAGGATTAATATATTAACAACCTTTATAAATGAATAAAGAATACTAACTTGGTAACTAAGAGACTTATCAGCACCACTTTAATTTTTTCCACATATTTCTCTACCTAGATATATTTCTGTAATACCCCAATTTTACTTTTACTTACACACACACACACACACACACACACACACACACACACGAACCCTGTTAGTTGATTAAAAAAATGTAATTATGTTGCTTAGTTATTATGGCTAAATACCAATAAGTATATCTGCTGATAATGCTACCAGGTCTATGAAACCAGGATAAAGACCATGTAGTAATCTTCTCTTCTGCTGCTTAGTTCTGTATTATTTGAAGTAGCAAAAACTGAAGTTATTTTAAACAGTGAAGTCATCAAGAACTTGCTTTATTCAATCTGTCTAGATACCCCCACCTAACCATGGTATATATTCTCACTATAATAAAAGATTATGAGTCTCATAAAAACACGTAATTTTAACAGAAAGAGACTAGGCCTATAAAAATTTCTATACAAAATAATTCTTAGCTATAAATCAAAATAAAATGGTGCTTAACATGTATATAAGTAGAAATAAAGGTTTTTAAACAAAAAGCTTTCAAACAGTTGACTGTATTAGTACATATTTTAAAATGTAAAAATAGGCAGGCTGTTTTATGTAGGAGAACTATACTACCACTCAACCTTTACTAGAAAGTTGGCAGCCCTGAGAACTCCTTTGTTAATGTAGCATGTTATGAGTATATTCCTGCTCCCAAAGGAATGAGGAGCAGACATTTCCACATGCAACCTATTTCCTTTTGAAGAAGAATTTTCATAATAGCATAGGGAAAGTATTCTACTACTATGTAATTATTCTTTAATGAGATAAATACTTAAATATCTTAGATGGACATTATGCATTATATTAGAATTCCATTAACTCATCAATAGGAATAAGTGTTTACTAGAGTCTACCATACGCTTTAATTCTAAGTTTACAGTTGGCAGGTACAGAAGGGAAAGATGAAATGAAACTTTCTACTTGAATAGAAAGACTTCATGTACAGCTAAGCAACAAATAATATAATTTCAACAAATTGGTGAATATTGAAGAATAAATGCAATAGGACTTTACTGAAAAAGGTGGAATGAAGAGAAGACAATGTCTACAAAGAAAATGGAGTATTATCATAAAAACTGACGGACAACTAACATGTATTTTCACCTTCAGTAGGTTAAATCCCTCATGCTGTTTTTTACTCTAACACATATTAGGTCACTTCTGAAATTTATCTTTTAGTTTAGTAAGATATTGTGAATATAAAGTTTTTGAATTTTTAACAGGAAGAAAATGAAAAAAGTTATTACAAAACCAAATTACATGTAGGAATTCAATTATGTAATAATTTATATGTTAACTTACATTCAACATCTGTAAGAACTAATTTAGGTGATTAGAAACCATTAGTAACATACCCAGTTTTATTTCTGTCCAGGAGGCTGGGTGCCAAGGATCGAATATAAGCACAAGTACATATAAGCAGCAAGATTACAGTCAATAGACTCTGAAAGTTGAAAATGGCAGACTAGAAAGGAAAAAAAAAAAAAGAAAAATTAATATAATAAGAAAAACCGCATAAGTAAAAAATATTTGACAATTCCACATTTAGAGTCATGCTTTTATTTCTTCAAGAAAGCAAGCAGAACGACAAGTCTTGCAACATTTAAAACCAGAATCTTGAGGTATTCTACAGTCTTCAAGCTCTGCCAATAGCTAGTTTTATGGCCTTAGTGGAATTACCTTTTCTAAGTCTTTGGCTGGGTGGAGAATGGGAAGACAGACTCAAATGCTAACTAAAGTTTCTTTTAATTCTGAATTTTTTTTAGGATAAACATCCTTTAAATTTAAGCTATAATTTTCCATGAGTTGACAAATACTAGGCTAATAGATTTTGGAGAAAGAAAGCAAGTACCTGCACTTTCACTGTTGGATTTTTAAAAGTTATTCATTACAGGTTGAACATCCCTAATCCAAAATCCAAAACGTTCCAAAATCAGAATTTTTTGAGTGCCAAAATGATGGTAAAGAAAAAATGTTCATTGGAGCATTTTGGATTTTTGATTAGAGATGCTCAATAAGTAAGTATAATGCAATTATTCCAAAATCCCCCAAAAATCTGAAATCCAAAACACTCTGCCTCCAAGCATTTTGGATAAAGATACTTAGCTGGTATTTAATAGTTCGAGTCCTATTCAAAAAGTTAAAATTTAACACAGGAATCACAAGAAACCATAAGTTTCGTAAGTTTCCACAGTCAAACAAAATCACAGGTTTCCAGTTAAAGTAAATGGAGGTGGACTTATTCTATTCAAAATTCAGCTCTAGCATCACCTTTTTAAGGAAGTTTCCTTGAATCCATCTGCCTCCCTTCTCTTATTTTATGTAGAACTCCCTTTTCTATTCTCATAGCAAACTGTTACCTTTATAATAATATTCATCTCTGAAGGGTGGACATTGTGTTATCAGGTTATCAGACTATGAATCTCCAGCACCAATCATATGCCTGTCTCACAGTAGAAGCCCAATAAGAGATAGTTGAACAAATAAAATGAAATTAAGAAAGTGCAAGAATATTACTGTATATGTAACAAAGAATAACATTTTCATCATATACAGGTAGATAAAATATGTCAATCTCATACAACAGTCAGCAATATGCTTGTTTAGTAAACTTACAGGCACTTTCTAAAAAACAAACAAAAAATCAGGAATGAAACAAAGAATAAGACTTATGAAAAAACTTAGTTACATAAAATTGGTACTTGCGGCTGAGTGCTTATTTGAAAAGTCCTAAAGAATTTAGTGAGAAACAATTATAGATCTTAAGGAAATTGAGTAAGGTAGCTGGATACATAATTAAAATATATACATCAATAGCCTTCATAATCATATTATCATTCAGGAGAAAGACAATGGAAAAATGATAGCATACAGAACGAACAACTAAAATACCTAGGAATAAGCTTAACAAGAAACGTGCAACATCGGCATCAAAGAAAAAAACGGACAAAATCTTAAAACATATGGAAGAACATAAAAGTAGAAGAGACTGTTGCTGTGGTTTAGAAATGGTTTTCTTGTCCCTACCAAAGCTCCGGTTGAAATTTGATCCCCATTAAGGTAGTGTTGGGAGGTGGGGCCTAGTGGGAGGTGTTTGGGTTTGGGGGGTAGATCTCCCATGAATGTCGGGGTGCTCTTCTGCAGTTAGTGAGATCTCATAAGATGGATTAGTTTTCCAGGAAATGAATTCTTTCGGGAGAGAGTAGGTTGTTATAAAGCCATGAGCTCCTCCCTCCTTTTCACCACGTCTGTTTCCCCTTTGACCTTCTCAGCCACGTTGTGATGCATAAAAGCCCTCCCCAGAAGGAGGGCCAAGCCCTACTACTCTCAGCCTGCACAACTGAGAGCTAAGTGACCCTTTTTTCTTAACCAATTACCCAATTTCTTTTTTTTTAATAGCAACATAACATGGATTAAGAAACCTGGTATGCCAGGTTTTTACACTGGAAGGTAACATTGTAAAGACAACCTATCAATTTAAAGTGAACCCAACACCAACAAGTTATTTTTTAAACAGACAACTAATTCTGAAGTTCATATGGAAAAAATAAAGCAAGAATAGCCAGGAGAATCTTAAAAACAAACAGACAACTAGAAACTGTTCCAAAGTCATTTTAATCTTTTATATATGTTTATGATAAATATGAAACTACTGAAAAAATTTTAAAAACTGTATACATTATTTACCAATATTCTCAAGGACAAAAAGTGCTTATGCACAATGTTAAGCAGTAGGCAAAAGGGGATCAAAGATTTCAGACAGTACATCTTAAGGTATGTAAACCTTTATGCAAAGCAAGTGGGAAAATGCTGTGATTATCTCTGGATAGTTTTTTGGCAGGGGTCGGGGGACAGACTCTTGCTCTGCTGCCCAGGCTGAAGTGCAGTGGCGGGATCTTGGCTCACTGCAACCTCCACCTCGTGTGTTCAAGTAAGTCTCCTGCCTCAGTCTCCCTAGTAGCTAGGATTACAGTCATGTGCCACTATGCCTGGCTAAATTTTGCGTTTTTTTTTTTTTTTAAGTAGAGACAGGGTTTCGCTGTGTTGGCCAGGCTGGTCTCCTGATTTCAAGCAATCTGCTCAACTCGGCCTCCTAAAGTACTGGGATTACAGGCATGAGCCACTGTGCCCAGCCATCTCTGGATAGTTTTTAACCTAATTCTCCACTTTTCTGGATTTCTCAAATTGTCTAAGTGATACTTTTATGGTCTGAAAAAGAAAAAAAGGATTTGTAATTACCAGTTTAATACCTGTTTTTCTATGCACAATTTTTTCATGGATATAACAAAGATAAAATTTAATGTATCTGGGGTTTTAATTAAATTGGGTTTTAATCTTAAACCTGTGAAAGTCAGTGATATACATTTTATAACATAAATCAGTGAATTAGCTCATGATCAACTGCAGATAACAAGCACGGTATCTCACAATGCTTATCTTTCAAAGGTCATATTTTGAATATGTATGTGAATATATTAATAAATAATATTGGATAATGACCTCATAGAAAATAAAGCAGATTTCCTCCCAGTCATCATAACTACATGTGTATTTAGTATCCACTTTGTCTGAGAAATGAGCCACTGGGGATTTAAAAAAAGGCACATGGTATGATTCCTTCCCTGCAGTTTATGGCTAACAATAGCAATTACTGATATTCACTGAGTACTTGTTTTGTGTTATCCTCATGTATCTGGGGTAAATGTTATTGCCTGTATTTTATACATGAGACTGAGGCACACAGCAGTTATAATCAAGTTAAAATAGAACATGTACTTTAAAAAGTACATAGCAACTCATTGTTGAATGTGGAAGTGAGCTATGCAGACAAAGAATGCCATTTTCATAAGAAAAAGTCAAGAAAGACTTCATGTAGAAAGCAGGAATGGAGTCAAACCTTGAAAGGGCACCATTCAGATGGGCAAATAGCAAGCTCCAGAAGAGAAAAAAATGTGGGGAAAAAAAAAACCCTAAAGAGAAAGTCATTACCATGTTCAGGGAATAATGAGAATCTTACTGTATTTTAAGCAAAAGATTCCTATAGTAAAATGGTTGGAAAATAAATCTGCAAAGTAGGTTTATCATCTTCCTAATGCAGTATCTAAATTCATGACTTTGTAATGTGTTCTCTTTTCTTCTCCAAATGTGTTGTTAAAGAAACATGCTTATGACATAATGTCCAGGATTGTTTCTAAATAATCCAGTGCATGTGTGGTGGAAGAGGGGTAGGGCTGATGATAAAATGCTGAGAATATGAGGGTTCATTATAGGCTTCTACCTCTTTATGTTTGAATGTTTTAATAGAAGATAAAAAGGCACTTAAAAACATGCCTATTATGAAAGTAGAGTGTGTATATACGTTTGTATGTGAAACCATTTACAAAAGAAAACCATTTACAAGTATGAAATATATGATATATACAACTTTGTTCTGGGGGTTTAAAGACTCTAAAGTTTAAAACAAATAATCTTAGGTGGTAAGTCTTTTAGATGTACTTAGACTCTGGTCAAAAGTGTGTTTCTAACTTACGGACATTAGCCTGCCACCTATAGCATTCCCCTTAATGCTTAGCATCTGTTGTCTGGTGATATAAAACTTTAGTCTTGGGGTTAACGGAAACAGATGTTCCTCTTCAGCGAAAAAATAATTGTAATTTTCAACAGAAAAATGTTATTAAAAGGGAAAAGAGGAATCTAAGAAAAAGGTAAGCATATTTAATCACAAAATAGAGGAAAAGATGATAAAAAGGTGGTTAAGTCAAATTCATTTAACTTGTTTAATTTTTTTCAGGGCCTTTAAGTCATGAAACCTTCTTCAAGGTACTCTATTGAGTTCTGCACATGCTATCTGTTCTTGCCTGCTTGGTGAATTGACTCATCCGTCCAACCTCAACTCAAGATGCACCTCCTTTGATGTCTTCCCTGTTCCCACTCTCCATACCAAGCAGAGTCAGGATTTTTATATGTGTATAATACATACACATAATAAGGTGTGTGTTACAGAACACATACTGTACTGATTGTCTTCTCTATTCTATTGAGGTTTTTATCAATCCCCTGTGACTATTAAAATATAGTACACAGAGAAGTCACTGAAAAATGTCAAGTGAACAGGAACTTGAATACAACTGGCAATAATGAACATTTTAACAAATCCAAGAACATACTTGGATTCCAAAGAAAAAATGCACATTCAAAAACCAGTGTAGATCAGATTGCTGAATTTTGTTAACTCTTCAAGAGAAACCTCCATGTACGGCCTTGCATTTATGTTTACTTCTCAATAATATCTTGGAAAATCAAGTAGAAAGATGCAAATTTCCTTATATTTATGTTAAGGACCTAGGCTGTAGGGTAAAATAAACACCTGAGGTATTTCCATTCAGTATCCACATCTTATATCACCTCCTGGAATTCAGATTTTCTATTCTATCAAGCAGCAAGCTTTGAAGGTGCTTGCACACTGGAGAGTGT